TCCCAAGGCAACCTGTTCCAAAATGCCAGATCTACTTTAAGTACCTGCCTGCAAAGGAGCTCAGGTTTTAATTACAGCTGCGTGGCTTTGGCTTATTGTAATACGATCGGTACAAACTAGTCTCCAAAGCTCGTTTTGAAAATGGTACCCTCCATCTTTTCCTCTACTTTGGGAAGCTTGCAGGAACGAGTTTTGCTTTCTTACCCAGATCTCCATCCCCTATGGAGCCTTCATGTCCAGGGATTGAACCCTTGTGACATCCAAATATATTAGGCAGCTCTCCAATTGGACTTGTGGACTTGTTGGTGATCCTTTCTCAACCTGATGAAGCTTGAAGATAGTCTCGTCCCCACTTTGTCTCCCTGGTCTATGGAGTTTCCATGAAGCCTCCCTGAACAGGAGTGGCCTACCTGCTGGCAACCATTTCCCAAAGCTACCTCCACAAAGAGAGTCAGCTTCCCAGTCCCATCCCTTTCCCATAGACCCACTTTGAGTCCCCTTTTGGGAGGCAAAGCAAGGTATCAACAACAAGAATAAAAACAACAGCAACAACAGCAGCAGCAGCAACAACAACAACAATGGTATACCCAAAGAGAGTCAGCTTCCCAATCCCATCCCTCTCTTATGGAGCCGCTTTGAGTCCCCTTTGGAGAGATAAAGCAGGGTATCAACAACAACAATAACAATAATAACAGCAGCAGCAGCAACAACAACAACAACAAAAGTAACCCTTTCCCCAAGCTACCCAAAGATAATCAGCTTCCCAATCTCATTCCTCTCTTATGGAACCACTTTGAGCCCCCTTTGGGGAGATAAAGCAGGGTATTAACAACAACAACAACAACAACAACAACAACAACAACAACAACAACAAAAGTAAGCCTTTCTCAAAGCTACTCATAGAGAGTCATCATCATCATATTCATCATTATCATCAACGACAACAACAACAAAGGTAACTCTTTCTCAAAGCTACCCAACAACATCAACAACAATAAAGGTAAGCCTTTCTCAACGCTACCCAAAGAGTCAGCTTCCCAATCCCATTCCTCTCCTATGGAGGCACTTTGAGTCCCTTTTGCAGAGGTAAAGCGGGGTATCAACAACAACAACAACAACAACAACAACAACAAAAGTAACCCTTTCCCAAAGCTACCCAAAGAGAGTCAGCTTCCCAATCCCATCCCTCTCCTATGAAACCACTTTGAATGCCTTTTGGGGAGGTAAAGTGAGGTATCAACAACAATAACTACTACTACAACAACAACAACAGCAACAACAATGGTAAGCCATTCTCAAAGCTACCCAAAGAGAGTCAGCTTCCCAATCCCATCCCTCTCCTATGAAACCACTTTGAGTTCCTTTTGAGCAGGTAAAGCGAGGTATCAACAACAACGTAAACAACAACAACAGCAACAACAACGGTAAGCCTTTCTCAAAGCTACCCAGAGAGAGTCAGCTTCCCAATCCCATCCCTCTCCTATGGAATCACTTTGAGTACCTTTTGGGGAGGTAACAACAGCAACAACAACAAACTTCCAAGAAACCTTGAAAAGCACTTGAAAAGCCTTAGTTTGGACAGAACATCGATCCACATGCTGCAGAAAGCATCACTTCTCGGAGCTGCGCACATTCTACGAAAATACTTCTAATATCCTAAGCCATAGGGAAGAGCCCAATATTCAGAGACAATTCCCAGACACTTGGACCTAATGTGCATGTATGCTGTGATTGTTATGTGCATGTAAACAGCAGCAACAACAATAATATGGTACTCAAAGATGGAAGCTTTCCCATCACATCCCTAATGTCATCCTTCTCCAGAACTTCTATTAGCGAGTGATCTTTTTTCAACCCAATGACACTTGACGAGAGACCACTTCCCAGCCTCATCCCAACTCTGCCCATGCCTCCCTTCTCCATGGAGCCTCCATGAACCTGCTGACTATTATTATTATTCTATTTATGTATATATGACCCTTTGCCAAAAATACCCAAAGACGGCCAGCTTCGCAATCTCATTCCTGATCTCATTCTCCTCCAGAACTTGTCAACTTGAAATTCCTTCTCAGCCTGGTGATGCCTCACAGCCTTGTTCCACATATCCTGGTATTGTCTACATGCTGGTGATCCTTTTCCAACCCCCACGACACCCAAAGTTAGCCAGCTTCCTGATCCCATTCCTCCAGCTCTTTACCTCCATCTCCAGTTGTTGGAGACTTGCTGGCAATCCTTTCCCAGCCATGATGACACTCAAAGGCAGGCATCTTTCCAACCTCAACTCTTGACCTCCCTATTTCCTCGGGAGCCTCTACCTTCACAGACTAGTGGAGACATTATGAGGATCACTTTTCAACCCTGTAGCTCCTGGAGACCCTTTTCCCAGCCCCTGTGGTGCCCAAAGATAGGCAGCTTCCCAATCTCATCCTTCTCCAGAGCTTCTATTACGTGTAGTTGGTGGTCTCTTTTTCAATCCAATGACACTTGAAGAGAGGCTACTTTCCAGCCTCATCTCCCATGCCCAGGGATTGCTGACCTTTCGATGACCCTGTTGTAGCCCCATTGACACCCAAACATAGGCAGCTTCCCAATCTCATCCTTCTCCAGAGCTTCTGTTACGCATAGTTGGTGATCTCTTTTGCAACCCAATGACACTTGAAGAGAGGTCAGTTTCCATCCTCATCCTCCATGTCCAGGAATTGTCTGTCTTCTGATGACTCTCTTCTGGCCCCCATGGTAACAAAAGATGGTCAGCTTCCCAATCTCATCCCTTTCCTATGAAACTCAAATGTGGCCATCTTCCCAATCTCATACTTCTCCAGAGCTTCTGTTAGCTGGTGATCTCTCTTTTCAACCCAATGAGACTTGAAGAGAGGCCACTTTCTACCCTCATCCCATGTCCAGGGATTGTCCACCTTCTGATGATCCTCTTCTAGCCTGTATGGTAACCAAAGGTAGACCTCTTCTCAGTCTCGTTTCTAGTCCCATCCTTCTCCAGAGCTCCTATTAGCTGGTGATCTCTCTTTTCAACCCAATGAGACTTGAAGAGAGGCCACTTTCCATCCTCATCCTCCATGCCCAGAAGTTGTCTGCAGTCTGATGACCCTCTTCTAGCCTGTATGGCCCCCAATGGTAGACCTCTTCCCAGTCTCATCCTTCTCCAGATCTTCTGTTAGCTGGAGATCAGTTTTCAACTCAATGACACTTGAAGAGAGGCCACTTTCCACCCTCATTCATGTTGAGATTGTCTACAGTCTGATGACCCTCTTCTAGCCTGTATGGCACCCAAAGATAGACCTCTTCCCAGTCTCATTCCTAATCTCATCCTTCTCCAGAACTTCTATTAGCTGGTGATCTCTCTTTTCAACCTGGTGAAGCTTGAAGAGAGGCCACTTTCCACCCTCATCCTCCATGTCCAGGGATTGTCCACCTTCTGATGACCCTCTTCTAGCCTGAATGGTAACCCAAGGTAGACCTCTTCCCAGTCTCTTTCCTAATCTCATCCTTCTCCAGAGCTTCTATTAGCTGGTGATCTCTCTTTTCAACTCAATGTGACTTGAAGAGAGGTCACTTTCTACCCTCATCCTCCACGTCCAGGGATTGTCTACCTTCTGATGACCCTCTTCTAGCCTGTATGGTAACCAAAGGTAGACCTCTTCTCAGTCTCATTCCTAATCTCATCCTTCTCCAGAGCTTTTATTAGCTGGTGATCTCTTTTCCAACCCAAMGAGACTTGAAGAGAGGCCACTTTCCACCCTCATCCTCCATGTCCAGAGATTGTCTACCTTCTGATGACCCTCTTCTAGCCTGTATGGTAACCAAAGGTAGACCTCTTCCCAGTTTCATTCCTAATCTCATCCTTCTCCAGAACTTCTATTAGCTGGTGATATCTCTTTTCAACCCAGTGAAGCTTGAAGAGAGGCCACTTTCCACCCTCATACTCCATATCCAGGGATTGTCTACCTTCTGATGACCATCTTCTAGCCTGTATGGTAATCCAAGGTAGACCTCTTCCTAGTCTCTTTCCTAATCTCATCCTTCTCCAGAGCTTCTATTAGCTGGTGATCTTTTTCAACCCTATAACACTTGACGAGGGGCCACTTTCCACCCTCATACTCCATGTCCGGGGATTGCCTACCTTCTGATGACCCTCTTCTAGCCTGTAAGGTAACCCAAGGTAGACCTCTTCCCAGTCTCATTCCTAATCTCATCCTTCTCCAGAACTTCTACTAGCTGGTGATCTCTCTTTTCAACCTGGTGAAGCTTGAAGAGAGGCCACTTTCCACCCTCATCCTCCATATCCAGGGATTGTCTACCTTCTGATGACCTTCTTCTAGCCTGTATGGTAATCAAAGGTAGACCTCTTCTTAGTCTCATTCCTAATCTCATCCTTCTCCAGAACTTCTATTAGCTGATGATATCTCTTTTCAACCTGGTGAAGCTTGAAGAGAGGCCACTTTCCACCCTCATACTCCATGTCCAGGGATTGTCTACCTTCTGATGCCCTCTTCTAGCCTGTAGGGTAACCCAAGGTAGACCTTTTCCCAGTCTCATTCCCAATCTCATCCTTCTCCAGAGCTTCTATTAGCTTCTTTTCAACTCTGTGAAGCTTAATGTGAGGTTGCTTTCCAGCATGACGTCCTGATGGCCCCAAACGAGAGCCAGCTTCCCCATCTCATCCTTCCAACTGTGGAGACTCCATCTCGAGCTTGTCTCTTTCCTGGTGATGCTGGAAGAGAGGCTGTTTCCCGTCTCCGTCTGGCTCTTTTCTCCCCTCATCCCTACTTGGTGAGCATGTCTCCGGCTTGCCTACCTGCTGGTACCCAAAGTGGGGCATCTTCCCCATCTCACCCCCTGCCAGGCATTTGATTGACAGCTCCCGACCCTTCTTTTCCATCCCGGATGACCCTTCAACCCCAAGGAGAGAAGGTCAGCTTCCTCCCAAGCCTCCAGGAGGGAGGATGAGCCTATCTCATGGAGGAAAGCCCAACCTGCCTTACCTTGGAGGCCTGGGATGATGCTCTGGGGTTGCTCTCCTCGCCTTCTCTTGCCTTGCCTTGCCTTCCTCTCTTTTGGGGGGGAAAGAAGGAGCTTCAATAGGGAAGGAAGGATGGAGGAAGGAGCCAGAGCCCGGCTAAAGGCGCCTTCGCCTTCCCATGGCGCAGCTGAAGCGGGATCGATGCGGGTTAGGAGGAAAGGGGGTGAGGCTCGAAGACCAGGGGGAAAAGGATGCGGATGGTGCGGAAGGAAGGAAGGAAAGAAGGACGGACGGAAGGAAGGGGAAAACAAGGCTCTTGCTGCTGCTGCTGCTGCTCCGCCTCTTCGCTTTGCTGAGCAGCAAGCGCGGGCACGAGGAAGCGCGCTCCCGAGGAGAGGCAGCGGTGGGGCGCGCGCGTTCGCGGGCGCGCGCCCTGGCAAGCCGGCCAAAGCCGCTGATGGCTTGCCTTGCTTTGCACATGCTTGGCAACTCTGGCAACATGACTTGGGAGCCTCTCCATAGGCACACTAGACTAACATGTAGAAATAATAACCATGTAATGGAATAATGCAAACAGAATACTATAATAAGACTATAGAACCAAATAATCATAATAATACTATGATAATACTATAATAATAATACTATAGAATTATAGAATCCCAATACTATAATAATAATAATAATAATAATAATAATAATACTATAATACTACTACTATAGAATCAATGAATCATAATAATAATAATACTATGATAATGAGAGTTCTTGGAGAACGGGAGTTCTTGGAGAACGGGAGAAGTTCCAGCAGATTGGAGGAGGGCCAATGTGGTCCCAATCTTCAAGAAGGGAAAAAAGGATGACCCAAACAACTACCGTCCGGTCAGCCTCACGTCAATACCACGCAAGATTCTGGAAAAGATTGTTAAGGAAGCTGTCTGCAAACACTTAGAAACAAATGCGGTCATTGCTAATAGTCAACATGGATTTATCAAAAACAAGTCATGCCAGACTAATCTGATCTCTTTTTTTCGATAGAGTTACAAGCTGGGTAGATGCGGGGAATGCCGTGGATGTAGCGTACCTGGATTTCAGTAAGGCCTTCGACAAGGTCCCCCATGACCTTCTGGCAAGGAAACTAGTCCAATGTGGGCTAGGCAAAACTACGTGAGGTGGATCTGTAATTGGTTAAATGGACGAACCCAGAGAGTGCTCACTAATGCTTCCTCTTCATCTGGAAAGAAGTGATGAGCGGAGTGCCGCAGGGTTCCGTCCTGGGCCCGGTCCTGTTCAACATCTTTATTAATGACTTAGATGAAGGGTTAGAAGGCAGGATCATCAAGTTTGCAGACGACACCAAATTGGGAGGGATAGCCAATACTCCAGAGGACAGGAGCAGGATTCAAAACGATCTTGACAGATTAGAGAGATGGGCCAAAACTAACAAACTGAAGTTCAACAGTGACAAATGCAAGATACTCCACTTAGGCAGAAAAAAATGAAATGCAAAGATACAGAATGGGGGACAATTCCTGGCTTGAGAGGAGTACGTGTGAAAAAGATCTTGGAGTCCTCGTGGACAACAAGTTAAACATGAGCCAACAATGTGATGTGGCGGCAAAAAAAGCCAATGGGATTTTGGCCTGCATCAATAGGAGCATAGTGTCTAGATCTAGGGAAGTAATGCTACCCCTCTATTCTGTTTTGGTTAGACCACATCTGGAATATTGTGTCCAGTTCTGGGCACCACAATTCAAGAGAGATATTGACAAGCTGGAATGTGTCCAGAGGAGAGTGACTAAAATGATAAAAGGTCTGGAGAACAAGCCCTATGAGGAGCGGCTTAAGGAGCTGGGCATGTTTAGCCTGAAGAAGAGAAGGCTGAGAGGGGATAGGATAGCCATGTATAAATATGTGAGAGGAAGCCACAGGGAGGAGGGAGCAAGCTTGTTTTCTGCTTCCCTGGAGACTAGGACGCAGAACAATGGCTTCAAACTACAAGAGAGGAGATTCCATCTGAACATGAGGAAGAACTTCCTGACTGTGAGAGCCGTTCAGCAGTGGAACTCTCTGCCCCGGAGTGTGGTGGAGGCTCCTTCTTTGGAAGCTTTTAAACAGAGGCTGGATGGCCATCGGTCAGGGGTGATTTGAATGCAACATTCCTGCTTCTTGGCAGGGGGTTGGACTGGATGGCCCATGAGGTCTCTTCCAACTCTTTGATTCTATGATTCTATGATTCTATAATACTACAATAATACTATAGAATCATAGAATCAATAATATTATTATAATACTATAATAAAACTATAGAATCATAATAATACTATATTAATACTATAATAATAATAATACTATAATAATATTATGATAATACCATGATAATACTGTAATAATATTATAGAATCATAATAATACTATAATAATGCTATGATAATACTATAATAATACTATAGAATCATAAAATCAATAATATTATAATAATACTATGATAATATTATGATAATACTATAATACTGTAATAATACTATAGAATTATAGAATCATAATACTATAATAATAATAATACAATAGAATCATAGAATCATAATAATGTTATAATAATACTATCATAATACTATAGATTCATAGAATCAATAATATTATAATAATACTATAATAATACTATAGAATCATAATAATACAATATTAATATTATAATAATACTCCTATAGAATCATAGAATCATAATAGTACTATAATAATATTATGATAATACTATGATAATACTATAATAATACTATAGAATCAATATTATAATACTATAATAATACTGTAGAATCATAAAATCATAATAATACTATAATAATATAATACTATGATAATACTGTAATAATACTATAATAATACTATAGAGTTGTAGAATCATAATACTATAATAATAATACTATATTAATATTATAATGCTATAATAATACTATGATAATACTATAATAATACTATAGAATCATGGAATCATAATAATGCTATAATAATATGATAATACTATGATAATACTGTAATAATACTATAGAATTATAGAATCATAATACTATAATAATAATACTATAATAATAATACTATAGAATCATAATAATACTATAATAATATTATGATAATACTATAATAATACTATAGAATCATAGAATCAATATTATAATAATACTATAATAATACTATAGAATCATAAAATCATAATACTATAATAATATGATAATACTATTATAATACTGTAATAATACTATGATAATACTATAATAATAGTACTATAGAATTAAAGAATCATAATACTATAATAATACTATAATAATTGTTATTATGCTATGGAGTTGTAGCCACTTCCGCATTTTAGATGGATTAGGAATCAGTAAGAGCACCTAAAGCTTCGGTGCTCAAAGCTCCCTGCTTGAGCGGTGATGGCATGATCGTCAGCATACATGAAACTCTCTGTCCCTTCTGGCAGTGACTGGTCATTTGTGTAAATGTTGAACATGGATGGAGCAAGCACTCCCCCCTGAGGCAATCCATTCTTCTGTTTTCGCCATCTGCTTCTCTGGCAGAGCTCTCGGTCATCTGTGGCCAGAGAAGCAGATGACCCATTGCTCCTCTATGAAAAGGATCTCCCCAAAGCTGGAAAGCAAATGGCCCATACCTGCGGTGCTGTGTTTCTATCTGCAAAGAAGATGTTAACTACGAAGCGGAGGGTGCTTTCCACCCACGGCTTTTCACAAGGAACGGATTGCGGCTCTATCTCTCAGAACAGGGCGAACCATAAGCTTTGCGGAGCCAAATGTGAATAACCCGGGGGAATTTTCGGTTACATCAAAGGGCCGCGGAAGACGCCTGGATTGGGGGCATCTTAAAAGATTATTCAAATGTTTCCTTCGCTGTGTCGCTTGAAAGCGGAGGAGGTCCTTATTTATTTTATTTTTTAAGGAATTTAAGATGCGTCGGCGTATGAGAGCTTCGGCATTCCATCAAAGAAGGATTTGTATGCTGGGCCTGAAATGCCACCAACGATTCAGTTGGGATCGAATGAAGGAAATGATCCAAAAGGCCACCCAACCTCTCCTTCCAAACACACTTAGAACCCAATGGAGCAATCATAGGTAAAAAGATTCCAGCTAAACAAGAACTTCCTGACAGAGCTGTTTGGTAGTGCATTACGAGGGGCATTCATGACAGATGTCCCCTGACCCACTTCTATTTATCACAGCATGCTGAAACTGCATATGTGTCATGGTATAAGTCTCTATAGGTTATGTGCCAATTTATATCTCAGAACTGATAACGGTCTTGATGTTGCAGGTGTGGAAGTGGTGTGAGGTTTGAGAATGGACCCAATGGAAGACAGAGCAGTCCTCAAGTTCCTTTACTCGAAAGTTCGCACACCAAAGGAGACGTTCGATGAGATGAAAGAGGTTCATGGTGAGGATTCCCCATCATATGATGGAGTTAAGAACTGGCATGGTCAATCCCAATGTGGTCGGACTTTGGTGGAAACAGCTCAGTCCTCAAGTTCCTTTACTCGAAAGTCCGCACACCAAAGGAGACGTTAGATGAGATGGAAGAGGTTTATGGGGAGGATTCCCCATCGTATGATGGAGTCAAGAACTGGCATCGTCCATTCCAATGTGGTCGGACTTTGGTGCAAACAGCTCCAATTCCAGGGTGACCCCACTCTGCTATTGATGGACACACCATCCAGCAGATTGCCATTTTGGAATATTGTCACATAACCATTTTCCACCGAGCCCAAAATGTCAAGATGAGTGTGGGGTCTGTGGAAAAATTCACCCAAGACCATCTTCCCATGCATAAGGTATCCACTCGCTGGGTCCCCCGGCTGCTCACACCTTTGCAGAAGCAGGAATGAGTTGAATTCTCTCGGGCTCTCTTGACATTGATGTGCCATTTATTTATTTTATTTATTTATTTGGGGTTCTTGTACCCCGCCCTTCTCACCCCGAAGGGGACCCAGGGCGGCTTACAGCTGCAAGGCGCCCTTAGACACCTGCCATACAAAACAGTCATCAATACAATAATACAAAAACCACAATGGAAACCAGGAGGACTTTGTCAACAGACTCATCACTCAGGAGGAAAGATGGGTCCATCTTTCTGATCCTGAGACTCAAGTCCAGTCAATGCCATGGAAGCATCCTGACTCACCGCCTCCAAAGAAGGCACGTGCCCAACTCTCAGCAGGCAAGGTCATGCTCGCAGTATTTTGGGACCAGCACAGAGGAGGATGGATGGATTTCCTAGCAAAGAGGACCATCATCGCTGGGGCAGACTAGGCTTCACTGCTGAGGAAATTGTGGGAGGCCATCCAAACCAAGAGACCATGTGGCATGCTCCCCAAAGGTGT